GTCACTCCTGTCACTGCTTCAGTTTGAGACCGCCTCATTGATTATAATGGGAGAGTTCTGGCATTGTCCCTGAAGCACACCCACTGTTCTTGCTGTTGGAATACAAGGTTATTAAGGGAGAGCTTTCATTATTATAGCACTTAGATGCAAGTCCATTTGGACGGCTAAACAGCTAATCTTATTGGTTTAAAAGTGTGTTGACACAGAGCCATCTCACATACACAACATTTACAGCTATGCATTGACCATACACTGTATATATAAAAGGCATTGACACAACAGCCAGAAAGTGGAAAAAATGACATGCATCTTTTTATTGCCTCCACACAGGCAAAACTATAATCTACCTAGGATGCATTATTGCAAAATGTAATAGTACATTATATTTACACTACGTGTGCTGGATGAAAAGCTTAAGTGGTGGCCACGCCATGTGTTGTTTGACAGATTGGTGTAGGACTCAAGTGGGGGATTCTGGGCACGAGTACCATGCTGCTGCAGCTCAAAACGAATCCAAAAAGCCCACGCACTGAGCTCAGTTCTGTCAAACGGCCTTGTTTGGCCAAAGTACCGCATACACCCGACTGTAATAGCAGCAGCAGCAGGAACAGTAGCTAGGTATTAGATATGGCTGGGTGCAGGGCAGACCTATTTACAGCAACAACATGAAAACAGATCCCCTGAAATGATGAGTCAGCAGTTCACCTGACCTTGCACAACAAACTAAGAGATTTGATGATTAGCCAATGGCACCATCTACTGGTGATAGGGAATAACTGCAAATTCTCAATACTAAAATGTTTGATTTACCAAAATAGTATGTGAAAAGCCCAATAGTACCTTGTTGCTTGGTTCCAACTTCAGTGCCTTCCTCAGAGTTTGAATGGCTTCTGCGTATTCCCCTTGTAAGGCTAGTACCTTGATAAAAAAAAGCAACAACACAAAGTTCAAGAAAAACATCCAACTTGTAATGACAGTGAAAGAAAAAGCGTGATGTTTACCTTGCCCATGCGGAAAAGTGCTTTTATGTTGTCTGGCTGGTGTTCCAGTGCTGAGACACAGGATTTAAGTGCTGCATCATAGTGGTCCAGTTTCAGCTGAGAGGCAGCCATGTTGTTTAAACACTTCACTCTTACATCCATCAGCTCACTCTCCTCCTCAGGAGTAATGTCAACTGCAGCAAAAAAAAACACACAAAGAGTTTTAAAATAATTGTTATAAAGTATCAAGACAATCAATTCATTATAAAAGTTAATGAAGAATAGTTATATATATTCCCTGCCTATCACCGTCTAACGTGGTCGATATTGTTTTTTTCTACACACAGCCCTTCTTTTTTTGAGGGGGGGATTCAAGAACTTCGAAAAATGCACGAGTAAGCATCAACTCTTTCAGTTCCCCACCTGTTAGTCGCCTCCTTATCCCAATGCTAGGTGACAGAAAACGTTTCACCTAAACCCAAACTCCCCGCTCTCTCACCTTTAGAACTAGACTCTGTTATGGTCAAAGCAATGCTGTATGAATTCACAGCGAAAGCATAGTCCCCACGCTGGTAATGAACATTGCCTCTCTCTCTCTTATGAATGGCCAAGGCAGTTTTTTCTGCAGGGGGCAGCAGCTCCAGGTCCGGGGCATCAGAAGCTTCCAGCAGTTCCACTTCGAGAGACAATTCTTCATTGGCTGGAACCTCGGGTTCAAGACTGAAAAGATAAGGAAACAGTCAAATTCAGAAATTAAGTGGCATCAATCTCTAGATGAGACACAAGGAATTGTTAGAGCTTGGAGAACAAGCAGACAGGGAATTGGTCTTTTAATAGAAGCTTCAGTAGGAAATAACAAGCAGTAATAGATTTTAACAGGTAGAGGAAAAGCAACGTTTAATGTATATAGAGCCTATTGAATACCATTGTCTTGTCTTTTTGTAACAGATATTGTTAATGGTGGAAATTCGTTGAATATATGGACAATGTTGATAATAATAATAATACATTTGATTTGTAAAGCACCTTTCATTACTATAAGCAATCCCAACGTGCTACAAGGGGCATACAATACATACATGTTTTGTTGGTTTGCATGAAAACTGCAGTTTAAACAGCCTTTAGCAGTGTTACTTTAAAGCACGTCCATACCTCCCCCGTTCACCATATGCATATTTTGCATTGGCCTGGACGAGGGCCTTCTCTCCCATTTCCATGAGCATGACTGTGAGATCCAGAGCCTGGAAGAACAATTTCATTGAGTAAGAAAAACTAACTGAGGTCAGTAATATAAAGCAAACTATGTCAAACCTTTTGTGACTCTGTGAAATCAGTCCATTTGAAAAGTATGGTCCATTTTACCTGGATGACATCTCCATCTCCAAGAGTAAAAGAGAGGTCAGACTGCTTCTCTACAAGTGTCCCATCGCTTAAACATGTTTTGAGATTAATCTTGACATTCTGTCCTTTCTGTGGGCGACTGTCTCGCCCTTTTCCTTCCTCCAGGACCTTTTTCTTCAGCTGGTCATTACCTGGGGACAAACAAAGTCATATTTATTTTGTTTACAGCATTGATCACTCTGCAGGGAGTCTTTAGCCCTGTTAAAGATAATCGCAACGACTTCCGCTCTTGCTGAGTTGAGCTGCTCATCAATATTAAATGGTAAACCAAGTTAAACAACTACTAGAGGAATATGTTCAGCTATAATCTAACCTGTTACTCATGGGGCTTTTGTCACCTACCTAATACATCCAGCCATTCTTCCACTGGACCTGGAGGGTCAGAATCTGTGTCTGCATTAGTCCTCTCAGACTCATCTGTGTTTTTCCCCTTCCCACCCCCAGCATCTTCCAGAGGAGGGGGCTCATCGTCAATATCTTCTTCATTTAAAACCTCAAAGTCCTCCCCGCTGTCCAGCAACGAGGTTCGTCCGCTCTTCTTCCCTGATGTCACACTGTCATGGCTATCAGAGGAGTCCATATTTTCCTCTATTTCCGTCATTTGAAGAATACTATGAGAAAAAAGGAAAACAACTTGGGAAGAATGCAACTTCATTGACTTCATGACTGCAGTGTTTCCCAAAGATGTAACGCTTCTATCATCAGTGGTGTAATGTTACTAATTACATTGAATCAAGTAATGTACTTATAAGTAAAAAGTTGTACTTGTACTTTACTTCATTATTTTCACATTTTGCCATTTTATACATTTACTCCACTACAATTTGTTGGAAAATGTTGTAATATTTATTCCACAACAATTATTTTAGATATTTAGTTACTAGTTCTTTGCAAATTGAGGTCATTAATACAAAATCTGAATCGACACATCCATCATCATATATTGTTATTATAGGTTGAGCTAAACAATAGCCAATAGAGTAATCTATTCTAAATAACCCAATCTTTCCGAGGTACAGCATTACAGTGATGCTCACATTAAGGCAGCAATACTTTTTAATACAATAATTATGTTGTTTATGTGCCTTTTAAAATAATTAATACTTTTGGTACTCAAAGCATATTTTGATGCTAATACTTTTGAATGCAGGACTTTACGTGTAGTATTGCTACTTTTACTCTAGTAAATAATCGGAGAACTTCTTTCACCTCTGTCTATATTAATACATCAGTGAGCTTCTAACAGAGCTATCACAGCATTTAAAATCAAAACGACTGCCATCTCAAACAATGTAGCACTTAGTTGCGTATTGTTATCAACTAGCTAAAACATTACACACATTACAACTCACCTGTTAACAGTTTTTCAACGGCAGAATTTTGTTATTGTTTGATATATAGAAGCCAAGCTAAGCCAACGTTTTCCAGAAGTTTCTGTCAAGTTATACAACGGCTCCTCAAGAGGCTAGCAGCATGCTAACAGGCGTTAGCCGAGGAAGTTGACAATAGCAAACTAGCATTAGCTGTAATCTCGCTAGCTGATGTAAGTAGTAGATATTAAGGGACTGTTTTTATCTCATCTTGCAATAAACCAGTGCCTACTTCGACTTCAGATAGGGCGAGTCATTCAGAGCGACATATTTGATAACCACGTTTAACAATAGAAACGGCACTTTACCTTCAAGCACTATCTGTGCAGAGGCTTGTTTTGGTCCTGTACAATCTCCCCTCCAGGTTACACTGATGAAGTCAGCTTGCTGTTGGGCAACGCGAGATCAACGTGACCCCTATGTGTTGCTAGGCTTCAACCTCAAACTGACTTCGCTGCGGTCTCTAGCTCATCCCAACAATCTGCTTCCTGTTAACCTTGAGCTCGTGGACTTCTATTGGACCTTTTCATGCATATTAATGTTTGACCTCATGGGTGGGCTTTCCGACGACTGTAGATAGTTTTCAATAAAAAAAACCTCTGTACTTATATCTCAAGTATAGATTACACTCCTAATTGTGACTACATCCACCATGGATTCATGAGTGGCTTTTAATGCGTTATCTCACAACAATAGCAAAATGCCATTTGTGTAGCAGCTGGATGTACAGTGACTTTATCGTTTATAATTATATTTAACATATTTTTTAGCTTGGAGCTGTGGTAACCTTAATGCAAATTCAAAATGTGTGTCAGAATCATTGAGTGTTATTTAAAGTCAAAACTCAACTGGTATAATACAAAAAATTACAAAATTGAGAGCCTAAATCAAACATTGATAATAACTGTTTTGAAACGTGTGCAAAGGTTGAGGCCCGAAAGGAAATAGTAAAAAGCAAAAAATTAAATCAGGGAACCTTTTAGTTGCAGGAATTTAACCCATACAGTCCATAAACCTTTTCTAGGAATATCATGCAGGTTTATTGAAGCTATAGCAGAATTGATTTGATTTTTTAGCTTTAGTCTAGTTGACAATAATGACATACCAAGTAATATATTATTCCACATTGTGAAAAGCGTGTTTTAAAAAAATATTTGGCCCTTTCCTTTGCACTAAATTCCTATTGTGTACTACTACTGGTGGATGAAAGCTAAATGAGAGCTCAGAGGAAGAGATTGAGACAACAAGGAAAAATCAAATTACATTTATTATTGATGCATTGTTTCTTTTTTGATAAGCAAATCATCTGTTTTCTTTCAGTCTAAAGAAACTTTACAATATAAAGAAACATACAAAGAACATCTTTATTACCTACACAAGACACCTAAGTCCCTAAGACAAGATTTCTGAACTATCCTACCATGAAAATACAAAGCAAACCCAAGAGACAGACTGCTTCATATTGAATACTGCCATGTCATCAGAAAGGACCATGAATGGTACAGGAGAATCATTTATATCCCATTCCCTTGAACCCCCACCCCTCCCCAACTCAACATAACCACCCGCACCCGACCAGCAAATCTTCCTAATGGTACAGTATTATACATCACAATAGAAGTACAGAGATGGCCAACGATCGATATACACAGAGGACTGAGAGAGGATCAGTGAGAGAGCTTCTATCTATACAACGCTATAACAGGAATAGCAAAGGACACAGTTTCTTTTTGATCTATTCTTAATTTAAAATGAGGTTCTCTTAAGTACTTTTACCTTTTTAAAAGTTCTCTTAAATTGATAAAAATCCTTCATATTAAAAACTGCAGTAAGAGGTCACATGTTTTTTTTTTGGGAGAAGATGCCCTTTGAAAAAAATGATGAACAAGGCCAATAGTAAAACTGAAGCACAAGGAGACGAGGGCAGAGTGAGGACGCTACAGTTTGCTTCTGTCTGTCCTGTCCTCCCCACCTACGAGTCTTTAGCATACAGTCTGCATTTATTGTGTCGACTGTATTCTATACATTTTAATGGAAATGTAGCCACGTGTCAAATAGTCATCCTTTCTCTATGAAAAAACATGGACAGTTTTATTTATAATTTACTTTCAACTGTATTCATTGGTAGTGACTGACATATCAAAACATGTCAATGATATCAAAATGCATTATACAGTATTTACAAAAAAGGAAATTAAAAAGAGAAGGGAGGGGAGACGTTTGGTAGGGACGAGGCGAGGGATTGGAGGAAAGACGGGGAGGTGTGTGTGTGTGGCTACATTGAAGGAACACTGGAGAGTGTGTCCCAGGCCACCAATAGCCAAATCCTGGAGATGTCATTGTTGAACTCTGGGTACAATCTGTTCACATTGATATCAGAAAATTGACAAGTACGTCACCATCACCCATAGAGGCTACAATGGTTGTTTTAGTTATTGTTGATTTGAACACAGCAATGCCATTAAGTGCTGCAGTGTGATGCCACGAGAGATAACGTAACCCTTTGAAACGGAGAGTAGATCAGGCCAAGAAAACATAACATACAGAAAGAAATTAAATAGCGTAATATGTAACTATGATTTTCTTTGTGTGCAGATTCTACGGGCTTTCATTTTTTCTCAGTTGAATACATTAAAAATAAAAACAATCTGCTGAAAAAACTAAACAGAAATATCCTTTACAAAAGCGTCCCATTGTTGTTTCCTCTTCCTCAGACCGATGTGGCAGTCTGTTTACCCCGAGGTGCATCACTCTGCTCCCTTCATCGACGCTACTCTGGATCCACTTTCCCGAACATATGGGAGTCGTTGAGAGGATCTGATCGATGGGAGCTCCAAGGAGTCTGTTTTAGCCTGTCTTGTCTGGGTTAAAAAAGTGTATCATACAGGATCTGTGGGTTCACCCTAAAATCCAAGCAAGAAAGCAGGCGGCCTCACAAGTGTATCTGAAGTCCTACATTTATCTCCAAGTCTGAAGAAAAGGGGGCATTGCCTGGAGACCAGAATGAACCCTGGGAGGAAAACAGTGCCACTTGGGAGTCCACAGTGAGGTTGAAATCAAACAAAGTGATGGAGGGGAAGGAAACACGTTTTAGGATTCACAGACAACTTGTAAATAACAAATAAAACAACCACCATACACGCTAAATATGTTGTATTTACAGACAAATCCATAGAAGAGATGCTCTCTTGCTCTGTTGGATACTGAATGAGAACTGGCACCTCAGAGCTTTTCCCATGTAGTAAAAACTGTGAGAAGGGGGGCGTATTAAGACAAGATAGCTAGATGATCATTCAGGTGCATCAGCAGACATTTTGTACCAGGAAACAGCAGTGCTCTGAGAAAGCCTCTGTTTTAACTGTATGGATATCTTTAGCCAAAATACTACATCAGAAACTACTTTAATTGGTGAAGACAGTCAATTATCCCGATCACTTTAAATGTTTATGCAAATGGTGCAACAAACATTAAAGTGGCAAAGACTCGAGCTACACGTTCAGTTTAGTTTAAAGGAGAGGTATGTGATGTGAGATAGACTGTAACAACAAAAACAAGACAAACATCAAATAGCCTTAAATCATGTAAACAAAAAATCATTGTGCATTTTTCAAATGAGTGTGCTTATTCTGTCATTGTTGATGCTGCTGCTGAGATAAAATGTGCCCTTTACAGGAAATCATAACTACATTAGTAGAATAATATCAATTATGAAAATTATAACAATAATATTACCATCAACAACAAAAAAATACAAACATTTAAAAAGAAAACCATTCTTGCCCTAAAATAACATTATCAGTTCATGTTTTTTTTCTTGTTTTTTTTTTTTAAATCATTCCTGACACAGGAGTTTTTGAATGAGGGTTTTCGGCCCCTGTCAGTCATCAACCGCGTGTCCTTATAAGTTATGATCAGCGAGATATAATGGAGTGGTGGTGGTACAGCGGGGCATCGTGTTTGGGTGTGATCGCCACCCATGAGGGCAGGTTTTTAGGTTTTGGGAGAGACAGGCTCGGAGCAGATTCAGTCTCTTTCTGTCCTAGGGCCCGTGTCGAGGCCCGGCAGGCGAAGAAGAATCGGAGAAGAGACCTTTCCTGTTGCTTGGAGGCCTTTTCATGTTCTTAAACCCATTTTACAGGCGTTGGGATGGGGGGCCTTGAGGGGAGTCCTGCTTTCCAGGTGCATCCCATGGGGCTGTGTGGCACACCATCCACCAGGAGGAGGAGAAGGAGGTAGGAAGGGAGAGAGGAAGGTAATGCAAGACGCACCAGGGTGGATGGAAAGGGAAGATTTGGGTAAGGGGAGATGAAAAGGAAATAAAATAAAATAAAAGATAAAATAAAATAAAAAATCACACACTCATCGTCATGTTGGGTGAATACTGTAAAGGGAGAAAAAGAAAGGGAGGGGAAAAAAGATAAGCCAAAACTATATCATTAAACTACCCAATTCAAGATAAAAGCAATACAACTAACTGAACTAAATGCCATGTCCAGCAAACATTACACATTAACATTAACCCTGACTAAGTGTTTAAACCAGCAGCAAGCAAAGCAGCCCAAGGAGAAAATGTTAAGGAATCGAGAACACAGTGAAGAGACTGTGGCAAAATGTAGTCGTTGTCAGTCTCGTATTAATCACTATATGACAATCTCTCCATGCAGCAGAGAAAGCATATGATGTGGTTCTTTCTCATGCTTGTGTTTGTGCATGCTGTGTTTTTGTGTATGTTGGGTAAAGATGGGGAAATATTGCACAACATAAAGGACTAATTACCGGTTCAATTTAGCCAGGAGGACTGGTTTTAAGGTCAAAGTAGAGCATGGGGCTGATTTCACTAACATATTTTACATTGGTCAGCAGTGTTATTCTCTTTAAAATGTTTTTATAACTGTTGAAAGCAAAAACATTTTTGGAAGAGTGGACATACTGTAGTCGTTTAAAGTGGTATCTCAGTCAGTTTTTAATTAGTTTAATGTCCTTCAAGAACCTCATGGCTTTGTGCAAGAGACACATTTAGAAGCAAATCTATCTTGAGTCTGGGTTTTATTTTGATAAGCAATAGTGAAATTATATTTTCTACTTTAAACCGGCCCCAGGTCACCTTGGGCAATTTACATTTAAACTATTTAAATGTTGCATGCTTTAATTGAGTCTCAAACCACATGGATAAATCACAACTGTATTAAAAACATGAATATGTTCATCAAATAAAAAATGTGATACTGCTGTTTGATCATGTTATCATCAGGGATTTGTGCAGATACTACTGTTATCCAAAGCAAAATGTTTGATTTAAAAACCTGACTCTTTACCTTATCACAGTCAGATATGATTTGTATGTCGTTGTTTTGTTTGTTCCCAGCTTAAGAAGTATGTTGTCTCCTTTTGGTACTCACACTTTCACTTTGGAATGGGTTTAAAAAGTTGCCTGCCATCTCGCCGTCGTCCCGCGGAGTGCCGGGAGGATTGTTCATGCCTGCCATGTTGTTAGGAGAATTCTGTGATACACAGGTAAACAGAAAAAGTCAGAATACAGAAGTCATACGGATAGACAAATTCATAGACTGAGAGTCAGTTAGTCTTACCTTTGGCAACCCATCCATGTCACCAGAGCCTGTGATTAGAAATAGAAAAAGGAGAAATCGTTATGAGGTTACTGTTAACTGATTCAACACGATCAGGATATCCAGAGCAAGTAGGAACAGCTTGCCCTCTCACAGGATATGGCTTTTAACTAAGCTATTTGTTTCAGATACAGATGAGCATCAACTTGCTGGCTTCAATGATCCCGTCTCGCAAATCTACTGGATCAATTGGCCTTCTCACTGCCCCACTAATCTGTTTTAGCTCTGATCAATAACAGGATGGGGGAGGACACTTCCTCTGCCGGCCATGAGAGGGCACAGTCTTACTTCTAAAGACATTAACAGGTATGAAAATACTCAGGAGCCTTAAGGAAGTGCATGCTGTACACACTATCTTTGGCTACTCACCTAGTGATCCGTTCATATGATGCTGCTCCATAGCACCCATTCCTCCCATAGGCCCGTCAGGACCCGGCCCCATAGGGAACTAAAGAAAAACAAATGATAAAAGGTTATTAGTTTTACTCTGTGTAAATTGTACAGAAGAATTCTAATAAATATTGGATAAATATGTTAAGTGTAGATCAAAATTAATCAAAATGACTCACATTAGGTCTGTTTCCACCAGGGCCGATAGGGTTCATCATTGTGTAGATGTTTTCACTTGAGTTTGTCGAATCTATGAATTAAAAACAGTGGTATATGTGAAATCAGAATACTGTTAAGTATTTTCTTCCTCCGGGAAACACTTGCAGATAAGCCCTATATCAACGACATCCGCTTTCTATCCAATTGTTTGGGCCGGGGTGTGGAATGGGGTAATGAATAGAAAATAACGAGCCGAGCTGCACAGAAACGACTGGAGAGGCACAGTCCTTCACCGAGTCTGACGTTGTTTCAGCGTAATTCTGCAATTTGTTCCCCATATTCAGCTAGAGCCCACCCATGTTCTTATTTCTGCTGAGCATGACAAGAACCAGCAAAAATGTTACTCTAAGTGTCACTACATAATGTCAGTGAATCTGTCCGTCAGTCAATCTTCACACTGCTCCCTGCAATGTTCAATAAAAGAAACCTGCAATCTCTCCTTCCTAGAAGCAGGAGATTGGTATATCGGACAACTTGACAAATGTGCGACAACCAGCACATGCTGTGTCGCTCCTCTTGTGTCTGCTTATCCTGACACAATTCAGAAGGATGAGGTGACCTTGATCTGACATTGCAAGTTGTGAGTGACAGTTTGAGAAAAGCAGGCTGGAAACAGAATAGCAGATTGAAAGACAGGAGAGGACAGTATGTGCAAAGTGGTGGAGAGATCTCGCCTTTTAGTGTCCCTTCATCTAATAGCCTGTTTTGTCGTGACTGGAGAAGGACGGGGGGGCAGTGCTGAGTGGGAGGTGTGCATTTTTTGTGGGAGGTTGGTGTGGAAGTGTGTGTGTGTGTGCGCACACTCTTGGCGACTGCAGTGGAAATATGTTTCCCATCCCGGTGTACGTGTGAGCAGGAGCATTTTCTGCAAAAGGTTGCCCCGGCAACGTATCACAATAGAGGTATGTATATAAATAATAAATAGTGGACACAAAAAGAAGCTCTCGGCAGGCCGGCAGAAAGAGAACATCCACAGGATATCAGCCCACAGGGTTTTGTTCTGAGCTAATCCTCCGCTCAGACTCTAGATTGATGTGTCAAAGCTGAGGAAGATCACTCGTCTGATTGCAGACTGACATGCCTCCGCTTTCCTTTCAAACAGCTGTCTGAACATTGAGAGAAAACACAGCTAACAACGCCAGAATATCTTTGTTCCTTTACTGAGAAATGCTTACAAAATGCAGTGGTGGCAGAAGTATTCAGATCATTTAGTAAAGTAAAAGTACTGGGAAAAGGAAGGTGCTGCTTTCAAAACGGATGTGAGCAAAATGCACTTCAAGCCCCTGTCGGTGTTTAACTACCATTTATGATGTTTATGATTAATGTTAAAGCTGCATTAATGTGTATGATGCATGTTACTGATGAGGATGTTTTAGGATGTTTTAAAAGGCTATATTATGCTCACTTTCAGGTTTCATAATTGCATTTTGTGCTTCTACTGTGACATGTTTGCATGAGTTTATGGTAGGCTTTATTTAGGGAACTTTGGGATTTTAGCCTTTGCAGACCATTTACATGCACACAAACCTATATAACACACAACAGGAAAGGGAAAACCTCAAAAGAGCATAATAGAGCACCTTTCTTTTCAAATTTGTAGACAAAAGCCTATCAAAATATGTAGAGTAACTAAAGCCTTTAGATAAATGCAGTGCAGTAAAAAGTACATTATGAGTATCTGAGATGTATTAGACTAGAAGTATAAAGTTGCATAAAATTGGAACTCAAATAAACCCAAAAACGAGTACGTAATTTTCTGACTATAAGGCGCACCTGAATATAAGCCGCAGCAGCTAAATTGAATGATGTGTACATATATAAGCCGCACTGGACTATAAGCCGCAGGTGTTTTAATGTTTAATTACCATATGTAAGGGTTCGTGCACAGAGGGGATTGTCGGGAAAGAGATGGCTGTTTGAGGAAGCTCCCATTTATTAACATTTCAACAAACAAGTTGCATATTTGCATAACGTATTCAAGTGTTACCATTTAGTGCAATAGTAGCTACAGAACATGTGCTGTGTAAACTGTACTGTATCACATAGCGTTTCAGACACACAAACTTTTCAACTTTCAAACTTAAACGGTGCGCTCCCAGCGCACGTACCGGCAGTGATCTACAGCAGCGGTTTTCAACCAGTGGTACGGGGACAAACTGTCTCGCTCTCGTAATGTCTGTCTGTCTTGCTCTCGTTCTGTCTCTCGTACCACTCTCGGTTCCACTTTTACTTTTGCGCTCTACCTGTCTCACTCTTTTCCGGCCTCCAGCTTTTCCTGCTGGAACCCGCCGCTTAAAGGTGGGGGTCCGCGGACCGGCCATAGAGCCCATAGAGTTAAAGGTGGTGGACTGTAACCTGTAAAATCCATAGATTTAGGAGGTCCCCTAGTGGCCGTTAGCTGTAAAAATCCATAGATTAGCCGCACCGTTATATAAACCGCAGCGTCGAAAAATGGGAAAAAAGGCGCGGTTTATAATCCGAAAATTACGGTACTTAAATTGTGCATTAAGAAGATAAAATAAAAAGATGATGTGTATATATATATATACGAGAAAAAAAACCTGCATAAAGGCACTGAAATAAATATTGTAAATTTTACTTAAAAAACGTCGAAAAACTAACCCATACAGTAGGTACAAATGTACAAAAAAAACGTTATCATATTTGTTAGATTTATATAACGTAGAGAAATTTACTAAAGGTAATCCGGCAACAATCTTGGATTTTTTTCACCAACCGGGAAAGTAATTCATCACCACATCCGGAAAGCGTGTCAAATATATAATGTTAACCGCGTAAGTTTACTCGCGCTCGGCATCCACGACGTTTGGGCCGGGCAATAAAAATAAAACGAAAGGTACCCACAGGCCAAAAAAGTGAAAAAAAGCGTGGGAGTAGGTCCAAAAAGGGCCGACTTAACGGGATTTTCAGCATGGACTGAACTGACTCAGCTCCTTACACCGTTCACCCATGTGAATGTTGTTCTACTTATAAACGGCACTAAAATAACGACTTGAGCAAAGTAAAACTAACGCTTTCTTGTTAATGACTAGGGCAACTGAATTGCGTCATATACGACCGCAGGAGTTGTGCCGGATGCTTAACTATATGGTCCGACAAAACAATAACATTTGACCTTGCGCGTATTCACTCGACCGGTGGTCTAGCGAGGAGGAACGAAGAAATCGTTTAGAAAAAGTTTAGTGAAGAGGGAAAGCGTGAAGTAAAAATAGAACATCAGAATAAAAAGATAAAACAACCTACATCTGATTAAAACCACCATTAACCGTACTAGGTGGTCCACACAAGAGCATACAGAGACGGGGGTGAATAATGTACTACGGCACAGTATGTTACGGAAAACGTCCTAAAATTGTTCAAGTAAACAAACTAACCTAAACTAACCTAACCTACTACTAACTCCAATAAACACAGGGAAGGTAACCAGGGAAGCGTCGAAGGAGAAAGGACAAACTGCTACGATTGTAAAGCGCCACGCGCAACGACGTCCCACAAGGTTCCAGGCAAGAAGGCCGCACCGGAAGAAGTCCACTCGAGGAGCACCCTTTTGTTTAGAGGCCTTCCGCGCCCATCCACTAGCTACGTCCTCGCTGCGTCCGTCGACTCTCTCCTCCTCTCTCTCTCTCTTCTCGCTCCTCTCTCCTCCTTAGTCATACATCATTAACACCTTTTTACCGTGACCACCTTAAATTGATACTTTGAAGTTGATGCCCAACGATTTTACGTGTACAACTCCTTGAAATTTTGCCGATGACCTGTCGCGTTTTCAGCAGTGTAGGATGTAAATAGATTGTCGAAAATCAAAAACCAACATTCGAAGCGTACACACAGACATAATGTATAGTGGTGTCATAAACTAAACATACTTTGTTAATTATGAAATACTAAACAGCATAGAAAAATATATAATCTACACGGGAGTTTANTTTGCATCTCTTGGGAACAATGCCTAAATCAAATACTACTTTCTAATGGTTTATTTTTCTAATAAACCTTGCATTGGGTTGGTCACACACTTCATTCTCTTGTGCTTTGTTCTATCTGAATTATGATAAGGAGTTATCACAAGCTGTTTAGTTATGCTATCTTACAATCAATACTGTATATAGAAAAGTGTGTCGCCAATGTAAACGGTTAGAATTCGAAGTGGCGATGAGGTCTTAAAATGTATGGAAAGGCTCTTTAAGAAGGTCTTAAAATGTATTAAATTTGACTTCAGGATTCCTGCCATTTCGCAATTTCCTCATTCAATGCAAACTGGGTTTTTTGGTTCATAGAGATAAGGTTAAATACATAAAGTATTTTTCTTTTATTCATACGGGCAATATTTTAGTTGGCCAGATGGATTTCAAATTACAGGTGTCTGAGCCAGAAATGAATTTAGATTTAACATGACCTGCCTCACAGAAATTCCGAACTTTCAGAAGAGCATTTTGAAGTTCAAACTCCAACAGGCGTCTTTACAAACGGGCACGTGATCATGCCAACATGGGTATCATTTTCAAGCTAGCTATTTCCTCCACCAACATGACACTTCAGTGCCATGTCCTTAAAGTGTCGGCCTTCAAGAGCAGTAGGAAAGCTGCTAGCAAAGCTGCTTCGGATTGAATGATGTTCTTTTTGTCATATGTGTCATGTCAACAGAACTTTTTATAAGGCACTATTTCTCAGCCTCTCTTGGCACAAGATTTGTTTTATTTTGCTTTGGTTCCTAAATGTACAAAACGTCAAGTGGGCCTTTTTTGCATGGCAGGCAAAATACTCCCAAACCTATTTTTTAATACACGAGTTCTCACTTGTTAGGTCCCACTGTGTTAAGTGCCTCCGACGTATTATATAAAGCTAAAGGAAGGTTTGTTTGAATTCTTCGTTAAAAAATGTTTAACAGATGATGATAATGATCTTTATCTTTATGCGTTAATCTCTTTGAGAGTTCTCTAGGATCCAGTATAATGATATTTGGGACTTTTCATATCTTGGAAATCAAATTGGATCAAAGGCTCTTTTGATAATTAGAGAGGTTGGCTCTTT